AGAGGAGGATGGAGTTGTGCTCTCTTGGCAGCTCATGGAACCAGTAGCCTGATACTTACTGCATTCGTTGATTAGTAAGCCTATAGGGCAATCACTCCTCAAGATACTCATGCATGCAGTAACATTTAATTATTTTATTAATTTTTTGGGGAATGCATTTATTCTTGTCAAGTTATCTGGGTAACCCATCTGTAAGTGCCAAGAAGTGTAAAATGCTCAGTGTATTTCACTTTGTGCAATTACATGGCCCATATATGGTTTTACTGCTCTATAACGTGTGTACAAATATCTATCTGCACATCCATTTTTATTCTATATAATCTGTATTTTAATGCACTGTAATATAATAAAAAACGGATGTGCAGATAGTTCTTTAAACATATACACTATAAAATTACATGCTGCTAAGAATGATTAGGAACCTTTTGTTTCATCGTGTCTGTGATTCATTAGGCCTGATTTGGAAATCACACTGATGTCGCTCAAGACTAATTAAGTATACTGGAATAACGAGTTACCTCATTGTTCATCTCCTAACTGGTGAGAAAAGAAGCTTCTAGTGTTTCCACTCCCCTCTGATAGAATAACCTACATAAAGCAAATGTGCTTTCGGTGCTCATTTTCTAACGTTGCTCATGATGTAGACCAATTTCTTCCTCACATGAGAAGAGGCTGCAGGTACCAAAATATCGTGCCCAGGTGTGTATGCTGATGGAGTGCCACACAGGTTGATGGGCTCGTTTTGGAAGGCAGTAGTTCAGGGTGAGGTGCTTGAGGGTGTTCAGTAAGCACGGCAAGTTGGAAAGTTAATGCGTGGAAACACTCTGCTTTCTGGCTGCTTTTGTAATCTTCCCAACTTGTGGAGTCCCTGGGGGAATACTGGATTTCCTAACAAAGGCCGTGGTGCCTGCCTCCCAGTCCTTGTCTGGGAAGATGCAGGGGGAAGGGAAGCACAGTGACCTGGTCTCTGCACTGAGTCTCTGACTCCAGGAGCCCCACCGAGTGAAGGTCCAAGTGCAGAACCTGATGGTGTCCTGCCTACTGGCAGATGCTCAGTCTCTCATTTCAGCAACATGTGGTCTGGGATAGTCAGGAGAGCACGGAGGGAGGACAGCGAGCTTTCTGAGCTTGGAGAACGCCCATCAGACTGACCTCTGGCTGCAGTGAATATTGGTGCATGGCCAGAAAGAGAGAGAGGATTGAACAGAAGATGAAATTGAGCCACTGCTGAGTCTTAGAGAACATTCAAGAAAGTTTTTCATGCAAATTTTGACATTTTTCTGTGGATTTGTGTACCTTTTGGGATTTCTTAAAATAATGTGTGATTCACTCTGGTAACCTCTATCTTATGTAAGTCTTAGATTGGTGCTTGACAGCTCCACCACCTCTAGTGATAAAGTAGTTCTCTGCTTTTGTTCTCGATGGGCATGCAGGGTGAGCTGCCAGTTCGAGGTGCTTTCACTGTAGGTGCCTGTGTTGCTGTGGTGAGGTTGATTTTCTTTTCTTTTTGTTTTTTACCTTAAATCTCAATGGTTTAATTTCACGTGTTGCTATCGTCTCATTGTTGGAGAATATAAATGCACAATTCGATCTCCTGAGTTACTTGTGTTAGTGCTAAATGAACCAGATAAACTGAGACAAATTCCGTGGTTAAAAATCAGGTATTCAAAGTAAGAAATTGGAACATGTGCTTAAACATCGAGGGGAAAAACAAACAGCTGGAGATATATACCTACTAAACATACATGAGCGCTCTTTGAAATATATTTTATAAATGTATAGTATGCATAACATCAAGTGGCACTTGTGTTTTAAATTTGGAGGGATGTGTTTGTCCCTGACAGGTTAATCTGTAAGCCAAACATGGGGCTCCTGTAGTAGGTTTAAGTGGGCTGTCTGGGAGACTCAGTGCTCATCTTGATGATCTGCTGGGCATTTGGGAGCCACGCCGACTGTCAGCCCGCCAGACCTCGGGGTGTTTCTCAGCACGTGGACCCAGCCGAGTGTCCCGACACACCGGGCTGGGGAGCGTGTGTAGCAAAAAGTGGGTCAGGGCCTGGCAAGGAGCAGAGCCAGGGACGAGGGCCAAGTCACAGCATCACAGATTACTTAGCTATAGTCTGAAACAGCAAGCAAACATACAAAACCACAATAGGAAATGGAAACAAAATTCACAAGCCCATTTTTTCCTTCTGATACACATGCACTCGGCTTCTGAGTGGATCCCAGTCTTTCTAATTAAATGGGCTTCCACTTATTCCTTTGCTGGAGGCGGTTTTGTTTGATTAACAGAACAGAAGGTTAATCATAGAAATTCACCATCTCACGCCATTCTGCAGCAGGAGAGAGTAGGTAGCTCCTTGTTGTAGCTACTTGGCTGCTGCCAGGGCTGGCTGTATGGGGTATGAACCGGCCCCTGGGGCGTGCTTTCCGTGCTCTGGTTTTAGGGGAAGCCCGTGGCTCCAGTGATGGGTAGGTGAGCTGTGTGCTGGGTCCTCGGTGTTTTTTGGGCTCTGCAGGGTACTGCAGCAGACGTGCAAATCCCTGCCCCATGAGGAAGGAGCTGTAATTGCGCCTGCCTAACGTGTGCCTATGATTAAGACACAGAGCAGCAGAGTTCCTAATGAGATCGTGGCATACTTGGAAGCAGATGGATCAAAGTTTGTCTTAATACCATGTTAATAAGATCTTTCTTAATTCCTTGTATAAATTTACCTGGTAATTATAAGTTAGCAACTATAATTCGCTTGGACAGACTGTTGGTTATGTTTTCCTTATCTCCGTGTTGTAAGGAATGGTTCGTACCTGAAGCAACAGAACTTCATCTCTGCAAATGGCCCACAGTTACAGGTTACACTTGCAATAAAAAAAAATGCAACTTTGAATAGACATGCTCAGAGTATAAAACACAGAAGTCTCTTTCTCTGTGACTTGTTTTCACTGGGGAGCTCTGAAATTCACGTTGCTTAAGAGAGTGGCCCAGCTGACCTGTGCTGCGGGGAGCTGCTGCAGCATGCAGGTGCCGCGCTCCTCGCCTCCGCTGCACCAGTGCCGTCGCTCTCTCGCCAGGCAGAGCCTGCAGAAGCATGGGACCTGCCTGTTGTTTGAGCTTTGCCATGCTGAAAAGACTATTAATTGCTTGAGATTAGACAGAAAACCCTTTAAAATGTTTGTTTTGGCAAAGCAAAAAAGTTGTAATTGAGTAAAAGATTTGATCCCACTTAACTTTTTGTCTATTTTCCAAGAGTTTGGAAACATTCCCTAGAAGTAAATTTAGAGTAGTTACTCAGCTAAACATTCTTTACCGGTTCATACTTTTGGTTGGTTGGTTGGTTTTGGTTTTTTGAAAGTCAGATGCTTTGTTTTCCATTTTCTCTCCTAATAGAAAAAATACTGCAAATTCAGCATGAATACTTAATCTGGCAAATGCCCTCTACACACACGTTGTCTCCTTATTTTAGTTACTGTTCTTGGATAGCTACTTGGTCTGTAGGTACGTCTGTAAGGGCAGGTGATGTTAGGAAAGCTGTCTTGTGTCTCAGCTGCTTCTGCCAAAAATGTGGAGGTTGAACTTAGCATAGATCGTGTGTTGAGGGGGTTCTCCTATTGGGCTGGATGGATTGTGTGGTAAGGGCACTTTCTGTTTATTTTCTTCATTTTTAAGAGTATCTATGTAAACTTAAATGCATGATGTCTCGAGCATTGTGAATTGCAATTCCTGCAGTAACGTTTTTTTTACCTATCCCTGATGCTGAATGTCTGATCAGTTGGCCATTGCCACTGACAATCTGTTTGTGCCCACACCAGCTCTTCCTCAATTGCTTGTAGGGAGATGCAAGATACCTGCTGATCCGCGCATCTGACGCTGCAGAAGTGAACAGTTTTAAGGGTCCCCGTAATTACATTGTTGGTAACAAAACTGACAGTGTGCCCCTCTTACACCACTGTACTGCATCCCTGAAAATGCCATGTCCTGTGGTAGGGGCAGGCTGTGTAAGCAGAACAAGTGCTGGTGGTGGCCATAAAGTGAATAAAAACAGCACTGTGATCTCTCCAGGCCTCCCTTCCCCGCTCCTCTCTGCTGGGAGGATGCCACAGCGATAATACGATGAAAGTATGGAGATGTATTCAGGTAGCTTGTTTATACAAAGTGAAGATGCACATAAATCCGCCAGCTGAGTGATTCAGACCTGTCAAGTCTCATGCATTATGCACAGGACTTACTCAATTAGCCCCTGCCACTGTGCCTATAACTCATGCCCTTGGCGAGGTGGTGCCAGGGGCCCCTCTCCCACTCGGTGATCTCGAGCGGCTCCGTGGCCGTACCTGGGGTCTGCTGGTGGGCAGCGGGAGGCTGCAGCGCCGTGCGGCCCAGGGGAAGCCCCTAGCTTGGAGTTTCATGCACTGGATTCGAGCCAATCGCGATGGCAAAGGACTGGCGGAGACCTGGATTTGTCAGAGAAGTGTAATCTGCAAAACTAAGACCAAAGCTATTGAATCTGTTGGTTTAAATACATTGTAATAAACATGAAATAATGGCATGCCATTAGTACATGCAGGGCTGAGGCTTATTATACAATCAATATATAACTTACCACACGTTATTTAAGCTCGGGTTAGTATTTGCAGGCCTGCTTTGTTTCAAGGAGCATATCCCAAGCTCGCGGATCAGAGAGGTGGGAGCACAATGCTCACCTCTGTGGTGCCTGGGGCTGTGAGCAGCTTTCCTCCTTGCGTTTCGGTGATTTGGAAGCTCTGGTAACCAGGGCAGGGGGGTGGGGAACAGAACAGATTTCTGTAAGTTTGGGGTTGGCTTTTGTGCTTGGATTTTTATTGTCTTTCCCCGGTGTGTTAGCATCCCTCGGGGCCCGGCAGCTCCACGGCGGTTTCCCAACGCAGCGCGCAGGAACCCGCCGCAGCCTCCCCCTGCCCCTAACCCCCTGCCCCCTGCCCCGTCCGTGCGCCCTGCCCTCACCGCTCCTCCTTTGTGTCTCCGGCAGCGATGCACCTGCTCGGGCTCAACTGGCAGCTCCAGCCCGCCGACGGGCACACCTTCAACAACGGCATGAGGCCGGGCCTGCCGGGCGCGGAGGATGCAGCGACGATGCCATCTGGAGGCAGAGGTGAGCGGGCGGCGGCAGCTCCGGGCTCCCGGCTCCGTCCTGCGGCCGGTTTTTAGGATGCGTTCTCCCCCCGAGGTGCGTGCGAAGACTTTTTAGGGCCGTGCTTAGCGCTGCTGGCAGATTGCTGCCCGGCACGGCTGCTCTTTCTTTGTCCCTCCGGGCACGAGCGTATAAAATCCCGAGTCCGAGAGCCTCGTCTGCTAACGGGGTGCCGCTCCCTAAGACGCCAATGAAGAAGGGCTCAGTCAAAAGTCCAGGTACACGTTACTGGGTACGGTATGTCCTGTTGCTAGGTGTAGCTTGCAGATATCCAAAGAATGAAAAAAAACCACTGACTTGGTGGGAGAAGTACCTTGTACTGCTTGGGAGAGGTGAGAGCCTCCAGCCAGGACAAAACCCCTCTTCTGTATTTTTTTATTTTTTTTTCTTTCTCAGCTGTAATTGTAAAGAAAGGTACATCAAGGAATCAAGGACAGCAGAACTTGACCCACAGTAAATAACCTGTCCTGTGATTTTAGTATGAGCAAAGTAGGCAACAAATTTTATTATTATTTTTTTTTTTTCTGAAGGAAAACTATGTGCTAGTAGAGAATTAAGAAACAGGGCAATGAGAAGAATGAGGAAGAATCTGGGAACAAGTACTTTCTTAAACCACAAAAGTATACATTAAAAACCAAGAAAATACGTTTTCATGAAAAAAGATTTTAATCATGTAAACTTGAATGCTTTTTAATGGTGAAGCTGAAGTCTTTTCTTCGCTACACAGCAATAACACTTCCCCTGGTTACTACTGGGACAGCAGCAGTGACAGGACAGAACGGAACCTTTCCTCAAAGCCTTGGTGCGCTGTGCGGGTGGGATGGGGTGGCTGAAGCAGAAGAAAAGTAAGAGCACTTGGTGTTGGTCAGCAGAAGAGTTTTGTTTAGAGCTGAGCATTGTCTTGTTTTCAGGACCTGTGGCTTGTGTTTTGCTTGCTGGTTGCTGAATCAAGTGTCAAGTTGCTGAACAAGTGCTGAAACAGGATAGTTGCATCGGGTGCATTGGAAGAATTTCAGTTAAGGTAGTGTTGGGAGGAAAGCCAAGTTCAGTTCTTTGGTGTACCTGGTCCTTTTACATATTATTGATTTGCTTTCATTTTCAATAAATAATGCTGCTGCACCTCTACATCATTGTGTTTTTTGTGGAGGGCCTAATTTTGGCTTCCTCCTTTTGTTGAAATTCAACATGCTATTCATGGCAAAACACAGGATTTTCAGGCAGTGGCTTGTTGGCTTGGCTTCCCTCTCTGACTGACCACAGGTCACACAGTGGATGAACAGCACATCCCTAGGTACAAGGGAGAATATTTATATTACTGCAGAACCTCTTCCAGATTGTGCACAGGTGAGAGACCCTATGGTTTTAGGCAGGAACCTGAAGTGCTCAGGACTTCAATTATGGTCACTTAGCAGACAACTGCAGTGTTTAGCACATTTCCAAATTCCCTCCCCTGCAGCTTTTTGTTGCTATCTCTGTGCAAATATAGGGCAGCAGAACTGTTGAATTGGAATGTGCTCATCTGCCTGGGGCACTTCAGTGCAAATTCTGGCAGTGTATCCCAACCCGGCTCTAATTAGCTTTGCACATGAGACGAGGTTGCAGTGCTGGCTGTTTGGGGAGCGGTAACCTCCTGTAGAGGAGACAAGGAGACGGAACCACTGGTTATGTCTTAAATTGCCACAGTTAGGTTTCAGCAGAGCGTGTTGGAAAAGTGTTCTTCTGACATTTTGTAGAAGGTTGCTGAAAAGTTGATAATTTTGGAGAAGAAGGAGAGCAATATTTAGGCAAATAATATTCCACAATGGAATAATATGAATGACAAGCTTGGGTGAACACAAGGAATGTCTAAAACAGAAATTCTCATAGCAGCTGATTTTTGTATTTTTTTTAACCTCACCATTCCCTTTATTACATTCAAGTTAATATTGCTATCCCAGCAGTTTTTAGGAAAGCCTCTGACAGCTTTTAACACAACAACCATTTTCAGGGCTCTGGCTGTGGAGAGTGACCTTTTTATAATTGACACAGCTCAGGATGAAGCCAGTCTTTTCAAAACATGGGTCTCCCAAAGAAACCTTTAACCCCTCGACTGAAAACGGCCACTTAAACGCAAGCTGTGCCTACTCAGCAAGTAAGGCATTTTAAAGTAGAGCAATTTAGAAGGAAAAAAAAAAAAAGACATATTTCAATTTCTTCTGCTTGTTCCTTATTAAAAGACTGAATTCCGATAAGAAATAATAAAAATGCAATACAAGGAAACGTAAAATATTTTATTACTACGTTTTCCTATCTGAATAAAAACAAAATTCACTATTAACACAATCGCAGGTTTTTTTGTAATTCCATGCCACATCTTGCTGATACTGGGGATGTCTGAAAGGAACAGGCAAGTTGCAATGGGCAGAAAAATCCTCAGTTCTGCTGTAAAACTGCAAGTGAAGTCCACCATGCTCTGACTGTAAACAAAGCACAAGTTACCTTTTTTTGCCTTTAGCCTCTCAAAGTTGTGCTGAACTAGAGATTTATATTAATTGGCAAGAGTAAATAAAATTTCATTTCTTAATAAAAGTGGCAAGGTAGGATTCCTTCATAGTGCATTATAAAAACAAAAGTTGGCACTTGCCGTGGAATTGCTACAGGGATGAGATAAATAATGATATTAAAAAAAATAATATCCCAGATTGAAGCCCATTTGTCTGATACAGTTACATAAGGATAGTATTAGAATTTTGGCGTAATAAATCTAGATGAGGAAAAAGAATAAGAGCATGTTTGGGAATAACTGTTTGTTCACAAACAAGTGAACTAGATGACCTTACGGAGTTTTTAGATGCCTAATTTATGTTAGTGTATGCCAAGACTGTATTCTAAATTTAAAGTTATGTAGTAGGGTAGACACACATTTCCATAAAATATGTGACTAGCTATGTGCAGTTTCCTTTCTAATTGACAGAATATACTATAAAAGTCAACTTTAATCATTTCAGAGGACACCTAAGATAAAGTGCTATTCACGTGAAAATATCCTAAACTAGCTCCAGCTGCAAACCTGAGTAAAGAATACTTCAGTGTAGAGATTTTTCTTTTTTGTTTGACATATTTTCCTTGGTGTTTTCACAAATTCAGCAGATTTTCTGCTACTTTAAAAAAAAAAAAATATTGATTTGCTATTTTTAAACTTAATGATTCATTAAATGAAGGTTTCACAAAGCTGAAAAGCACAGTAAATATTGTGGTCTTTGATCCCAGAAACTAGCGTTTGAAAAGACACCAAAGACAATTATGGGCACGGATTGTGGATCTGAAAGATCATTCTGGTTACTATAAATACACTGATTAATTGGAAAAGGTAGATTTGAATGCGTGTTCTGATACTCACATAATCCAGTGCTTGTGTCTCTTTCGGACCAGCCAGCTTGATCCAGGTTCGTGCTCAGCTTATGAGATCTTTACTAAGTCTATCACAGCATGTGGATTTCAAAAATACAATTACAGTTAATGAAAAATACTAGTTTCCAGTTATCTAATTCAGCATATGTAATGGCAATAATAAAATGAAGAAATTTAAATTTGCAGTTAAATTTTACACTATTTGCTGAGAATGGTGTAAAATTACTTGCTTGAGATGAATGCCTAAAATCCATTCGATTTAGGGAGGGGAAATATGGAATTCTACTAATGTGGCAGAAATTTGCTTTGCATAGATATGGAAAGCTGAACTCTGCAGTCATTGTGAAGCTGTAAAGATTGTCTTCAGTGCTGTCCAAATTACGTTGAGGAAGGGGTGTCTTTCCCTCTTCCTGTTGCTGCAGTTCCTAGTCACACTTCAGTTTGCACACAGCAATGTTTTTCTAATGGTTCAGATACTTTATTATCAAAGCAGTAGACAGGCAGCATTAAAGGAATAAGAAATACATTAAATGGGAATAGTTGCTACTCTTACATATTGATGAGCTGGGGTTCCGGTGCAGATAGATCAGGCTCTGACTTGAATGCCAGGAACACTGATGCTGAAACCTAGAAACCAAGTCATTCTCATCAGGTGGTGTAAGGACTCAGGACCAAATGGAGGGACTTCAGTGGTGTGTTGATAAAAACATTACAAAAAAAAAAAAAAAAAGAAGTCATGAAACCTCATTAATAATGTAAGCAACAGCGACTCTTTTGGTTTCAACTATTTCCTTTCAGACGCCTTGAAACAGATGATCAAAATGTAATAACAATCAATGTATTTTAAATGTCACTTCTGTTATGTTCATTCAATTTAATCAAGACATGCCATCATTTTCCAGGTGGATTAATCTTATTAAGTAGTTATGTGGCTAATGTAATGTAGCTCTTAATTAACATGTTAGCAAGCAGAAATAGAAATATGGACCCTATGAAGGGTGGCAGCTGTGGTCTTCTGACAATACACCAGGGTCCTTCAAGGCTGTCTTAGCAGGAGCCAAGTATTTGTCTAAGTTCATTAGAACAGAGGAGGAGGTATTTTAACTTACTGTGACTGTGTTGATAGCGATAGTATGAATTGCTGTGTTCAAAGCTACTTAGTGAACTGCATATAGCATCAGAGATGATGCAGAAATCCATGCTGGTATGTATTTGTTCTTTGTTAAATGCTGTGAACTAACAGTTCTCAATTTCATTTCAATTCTCATTCACTTTTGGTTCTGAAAACAGCGAATCCTGTGAAGCCATATCCACAGGAATGTGAAAATGTGCCTACATTTTTAGGTGTGTCCAGGTCATAAAGAAACATGTATTTTAATTCCACTTGCAGGGTCAGATTGTTTGACTGCAGCTGAGCCAGAGCAGTGGTCTTAAGCTGATGGTCCCTTTGCAGAATTTCTTTCTTTTCACCACAATAGAAATACGGAATATTGGCTGACAAACCTGAGACATGGATTTTGTTTCAGAAGCTGTTTTGCTGGACCTGTGAAAGCTCATACAAATTCAGAAGC